GGGAAAAGGGCGGCCTATAAATAAATAAAACAAACAAACAAACAAACAAACATGAGCTTCCTTCATTATTCATTAGAGCCTCTCCATGAAAAAAAGGCAATAATCTCTCTTTTTCTTGGGCCAATTAATTAATGAAGTTTAATTGACAGGGTAGCCCAAAACGTATTTCTTGATGGTATGACAGGCCATGCTCCACGTTAAGTGAGGTGGAGGGAGGACAGAGGCCAAGAGTCAGCAGAGGAGGGAGAGGCAGTTGCCATTATATGTGGTTTCCTCACAGAGAGTATGCTCCGGACAGCTAGCAGCCCTGACAGTCTCCGTTCCCGGACCCCCATGATCACACCTGACCTGGAGAGTGGCACCAAGTTATGGCATCTGGTGAAGAATCACGATCACATGGATCAGCGAGAAGGTGATCGTGGCAGCAAGATGGTCTCAGAAATATATTTGACTCGTCTGTTAGCTACTAAGGTAAATCATAATGGCTCCTAGGTCCACTGTGAGATTGGGATAGTGTTATAAGTTTGTTAATAGTAAGAGCAAGAGCACTTAGACTTATATACTGCTTTACAGTGCTTTGCAGCCCTCCCTAAGAGGTTTACAGAGTCAGCATATTGCCCCCAACAATCTGGGTCCTTATTTTACTGACTTCGGAAGGATGGAAGGCTGAGTCAACCTTGAGCCTGGTGAGATTTGAACTGTCAAATTGCAGGCAGCCAGTAGGCAGCAAAAGTACTCTGCAGTACTGCATTCTAACCACTGCACCACCGTGGATCTTAATATTTCATTATGAACTCTATCTTGTTCACCTTTTTTCCTAAATTGTTTTATATACGTATGTGAATTATATGTATTGCACTGGATTCTAATTGCCATCTGGATAGTGATCGATGGGATGTAGTAAATCCTGTATGTATGGAGGATTGAACTTGATGACCTCCTAGTCTCTTCCAGTTCTATGATACCATGTTCCTACTGTTGGGTTAGAGATAGTCTCTCCCTCCAAATCTAATCCATAATCAGGAGATGAATATTAGTTAATCTAGTGGATATATATATATATATATATATATATATATAACCTGAACATTACAGGGTACTGTTCGCTTCTTCTATGAGGAGCAAAAAAATCTAAGCAAGAGAAAGCTTTCTTTCTTTTTCTTCTTTCTTTCTTTCTTTTTTTCTTTCTTTCTTTCTTTCTTTCTTTCCTTGCTTCCTCCCTCCCTCCCTCCATTCTTTCCTTCCTTCCTTTTCTTTCTCCTTTACATCACTCAAAGCATCTAGAAATTATGTCATTTTGGTTAGTACATTTGGTTAGTTTCAGAATATATAGGTGACACATAATTTGAACATTCCGTCAGAAAGCCCATATTCTTCATGAGAAAGTGGGGAACTCACTCTCTCAAATATTTTCAGAATGCCATCATGGATTTTTCTTCCTCTCTCTCAATCTAAAAGCAGTCCTTTTTCATAGAGAGATACCTGGATTACCTCAACCTAAAGGAGAGGAATATATCTATATTTTATGTATTTGTTGGATGTTGAAAGGCACAGTTTTTGAAAGCCCTTTCAAAATTCAAGATTTCTTAGCAAAATTGTAGGGACTCTAAAAGAAGTCTGCAGTGACAGTTTCTCTCACACACACAATCTTTCTGCAGTTTTAAACCACTATTTGAACTACATGGCTTGTATGTTTTTCAAACTTCAGTAGCTGGATCCTACATGAGATGATAACTGAGAGGATTATAGGCTTATCTTCCCTCATAAAAAAATCGCTGTCTTGGAAAGCCAGCTTGGAACTATTATGAAAATTAAAAAAAGCAGTGATCCTGTACTTAATTGAATACTGAACCAGAACTCTGAAATAATTTGGATTGCTCTATGTAAAATCATATATCACTACCACATATAAATCATTAAATTGAAGATTTGTAGAGACTTGACAAGGCACAGGAGCCATCTTAAATGAATGAATATGACGTGCATGTCCACAGGATAGCCTCAATAGGCTAGCCAAAACAGTGCCATTGAAGCTCCCCCTATTTTTAATGCCTTCCTTCCTTCCTCTCTTTATAGTTCTATTATACCTTTTTCCAAGTTCAGTTCTAAATTCCTTTACAATAGCCCATGAAAAGCCGGTTTTATTTCATTCATTGGCGACACTTCAGTTTCTTATTTGAGAGCATGTTTAGTACCAGTGAGATATTTTTTAGCCCTTCTAAGAAGAAGAAAAAAGAATGCCTTCATTCTATTGTTGCTGTTCTGGTTGTGTACATGAATGATATTAAGTAATGCTGAACAAATATCCTCTTTTTTTTTGTTCCAGGGAACTTTACAGAAGTTTGTGGATGACCTTTTTGAGACTATCTTCAGCACAGCCCACCGAGGGAGTGCCTTGCCTCTGGCCATCAAGTACATGTTTGACTTCCTGGATGAACAAGCTGATAAGCACCAGATCAATGACTATGATGTCAGGCACACTTGGAAGAGTAACTGGTAAGAAGATGCTGTAGCACAGCAATAAAGCGCATGGCTTGCACCGCAGAAGGTCCCAAGATCTCTTCCCAACTTCTGAAGGTCAAACTGAGACAGAGTGGATACCTGATGGGTCATTGTGTAGATAAATATTCGGTTAGGTAGATCAATGGTTTGTTTCTGCAAGCTGATTTCTTATCTAAGCTGCAGCTGGCGGCTGAAAAGTTGGGGGTAGCTAACAGGAAAATGTTTCTGTCAAAGAGTGTAAACAGCCTACTGTAGTTTCAGCTTTTTTGGAAAATGGATCAGATGGTTTTAAAAAATTACCTCAGTCACATAAGAAAATGCAGCCTCAAAGCATTTGTGTTATTCTATTCCCTGGAATAGAGGAAACCTCACAAATACACTTAAAAAGGTATTTATATTAGGCTACAATATAGCCTGTATCTAATTCACTTGTTGAGATGGGAGGGTATAGAAATCAAATAAATTAAAAGAATGCAGGTCTGTCAAAATAAAATTACTGTAAGTTTATATTATGGGAAATCATCTTGCTTCGTCAAATACTTCAAAGTCCCCCTGAAAACCAGCGTTTTCCAAGTTAATGCATAAATCGCTAAAATCACAATATAAAACATGGAATAATAATGTGGATCCAATAATGGGAACATAATCATTAAGAGATCAGTAAAATAACAGGGTTGCACAGTGCTGATTCAAGGCAAAAAGCTGTTCAGAGTGCTGGAGAAAAATCTAACCTTTGGGGGAGATGGCATGGCTGCTTCGGAAGGGCAGAAAACTGTACCAGAAAACAGGGCAGCTACTGAAACGAGCTGTAAACAGGTGCTGCATTCAGACCTTTGCACGCTTCAAAGCACCTCTTAATCTTTGAATCAGAAGCGATTCAGAGTCTTAATAAACAATAAAAGCGGCAGCTACAGGAGAGCAGTTAAAAATCTTGTATGCAGCATTTTTGTTTATATAGCCAGTTATCAATTTGCTGGTGAACTGTATTCCACATTTACCTTCGAATGTGATAGGGAAGTTATTCTCCGCATGCTGATTTGCATAGCCTTAAACTCCGTCTAGCTATTTATTTCGTGCTATTGGGGATTAGCGTGCTCAGTGAATAGTAAGAAGCAGCAGACACTTTTCTCTTCTGCTGCTGCCTTCCTGATTTGATCTCTCAGTTCCTTTCACTGTTACTGGGGATAGGAATATACACTCTGATCTCTGGTATTTGTTAAATAGAAACCAAATTGCTTTTGTAGTTCAGTAACTGTCAGTAATTAGCAAGGCAGGAAAAGAAACATTTTTAAATGGAGTTATGAGAGCATGGAAACATTTGGAACTGATTTATCACTCGGCTTTCTATATTAAAGGAAATAGCTGCTCTGGGAGGAAAAACGGGGTAGGGAAAGAATCCCAATGATGCAACTCCACAGAGCCCAGGGAGGCAGGCAGGCTCCAGCATACTAATGCCCTTGCTTGTTTTGTACTGCTAATTCAGTGGATAGAGTACATTTCAAGAGATGGTTCCCTGAAATTAAAAGACGTAGGTATGACCAACACCTGGATTATATGATTTGTGGGAGTTTGTTGAGACAAATAAGAGTTAAGAAAAGCAGGCCCTAGTTTTCTTTGAGATAATTCAGATTTTATGTTAGGGTAGGTGAGATCAGATGATGGAATTATTTTATACAAAAAAAAACCCATCTTAGAAGTTATGGGAAAAGTCTCCATGGATTTCCCTGATGTACAGATTTTTTTCCAGTGAAAAGTGAAAAATTAGATAGTATTCCTGAGGTTGTTTGTATTGTACTTTGCAACTTGGTCATTCCAACTTTCTTCAGGTACAGTTGTTTGAGTTTTTCCAGTACTTTGGGTTTTTCTTCAACCTCGCCAATATAACACGGAAAATATTATGACATCCCTTCTTCCTCACTAATATTGTTTTGTGAAAATAAACATGGGTAATTTGCAGAAACAGCATAGCCAATTGCATTGTGCTGGTTGCCTCAGTTAAGAGATAAATTAATGCTGAACTAAGGAGGATCAAGAAGGTATTTGCTTTTCCTTTAATTATAGTTCTCATTTCTTAATAGAATTTCATCTCCAAGGGCTAATAAAAATATAGGGATTTAATAAAGGGCAGAAAACTTGGTGAACCCTGACATTTAACAGTAATTCCAAAGGTTTTAAGACGAGCAAAGGAAAATGATAGAAATGTTGACAGGTACTGATAAAATCCCAAGGTCAACATATGAATGACTTTGACAAATGCTCTATTCTATGTCACAAATAATAGAATTTACCAGGCACATTTTTGGATATTTAAAACAAGTGTCATGATGGAAATATTTCTAATATTCACTTTTCAAATGCCCTTAAAATCATTTACATATTTATATCTACATATAAAACATTTATAAATATGTTCATATACAGCTGCACCCTTATATATACCCACCTTTCAGTGAGATAGCTGGGTACCTAGCAAACCATGCATCAGAGTTATTATCGCCTGTTTAGATTTTGGGGAAGACCCTTGCCCCCTTACTTTGATAGACTTTAAGTAAAAGTTTATGCAGTGGCAGATTAAGGCTTACTGATGCCCTAAGCATTGACAAATCTTGGTGCACTCCTCCTTTGTACATAACTCTACAAATCTTCATTGTTTTGGTTCTTTCTCAACTTTGTGGTGCCCCCTTGGGTCTGGTACCCTATCCATGTGTTTAGTCTGCTTAATGGATAATGCACCACTGAGTTTATGCTAAGAGTTCTATTTGAAGCTACTAAGAATAATGTTTTCCTTTCTTCTCTTTTTCAGTCTACCTCTGCGTTTTTGGGTGAATGTGATTAAGAACCCACAATTTGTGTTTGACATTCATAAGAACAGTATTACTGATGCCTGCCTATCAGTGGTGGCTCAGACATTCATGGACTCCTGCTCAACTTCTGAGCACAAGCTAGGGAAAGATTCTCCCTCCAATAAACTACTGTATGCCAAGGACATCCCTAACTATAAGAGCTGGGTAGAAAGGTGAGTAACTGCAGCTGTAGACAAAGTAGGTTTGCAAAAAGAACAAAAGGTGTGGCAGTTCTAGGAAGTTTGGGATGGTTCCATGCTATAAAAAAACCACCCTTGGCTAGAGGAGACAGATTGGTTCTTTGAAACAATTGCAAGTAATTGTTTTTCTAAGAATTGCCAATTCCTTTCAGACCTTTCTAATGAATAAGTAATAGAGCATATAGATTTCACGATGGCAGCTATTTGTATTAGGCTGGATCCAGCATAAACATCTAACTTGGGTTGGGGAAACCTCAGTGAAGTGTTTCTTCTATCAGCTGAGCTTTTCAGTGGTTGAACAAGACAGGGAATGATGTTTCTATTGCAACCATTATCAGATCCAAGTCTCCTAAAATTGCATTTAAGGATTGGTGGAGGTAAGTTTGGGGAATTTGGGAGGCACTCCAGGAAAGTAAAAATAGCATTCTCCTTCCACTGTCCCTGTGTTTGAGGATATTTCTACTGGTAAAGCAATCCATTTGCAGGGGGATTAGCAAAGCAAAATCTCTTGCCAATGGAATTTAAAGCCTGGATTAGATCCAACCCGAAAATAATACAATCATATTGTGTTGAGTAACACAGATAAGAGTTTTTATTTTTCAGGGGTTTTACTGGGGAGATTCGGATCAACTTCAAGTATGTTTGGTTTGTTAATTATTGTGTGCTATTGAGGTAGAGACTTGCACATTGAAAAGACACAGGGTAACTGGTGCTGTTTTGTGAAAATTGTACCTGTCAGAGGTTTTTTTCACTGTTGCTAATAAAGATGAAAAAATAGATAGTGAAACACAGTATGAATAAGACTCTCTATTTATAAGTAGAGCTATTTTATTAAACAAATTGACTGTGTTTCTGTTTGTGTACACACGCGCGCACACATACACACCAGAGGCGGCATTCAGCCATCCAGTTCGGGCAAATCGGTAGCGGTGGCTGTAAGAGGATCTGCCCACCTGCCCTGACATAATGCGTGAGGATTGTGTATGCGCAGAAGGTGGTGCACATGTGCAGACACGGCGCTCACATTTGCAAACCAGTAGGGAAGGGAAGTGAATCCCACCGCTGATACACAGAGCGAGAGAGATGTTAATTAGTATTGGTACATGGTACAAACCATACTTCCAAATACTTAGACTTAGATATTACATTTGTGGCTGAGTTTTAATTCAAACTGTTTTAACAACTTATTATTCTGATGATTAGAGGAGAACATTGCATTAATTTTATGAGTATTAGTTTTTTGAAAGCTTTTGTTTATTCATGGTAATAGGTGGACTACACAAGCCCGGTGCCTGTCCTACAAGATGGACAGACCAGAAAACTGGTTCATGGATGGCTAGAATTATATTTCATTGCGATAAGCTTTAGTAACAGAATCTTGACTAAGTTTTCCTTCCCTCCCTCCCTTGACACTACGGAACCAGAGATGAGTCTCTTTGTAACAACCTTCCATTCTCTCTGAACTTAACCCATATTTATGCTGTACTGTACCTGATGTTTTCTTAATGGCCTACAGATTTGTTCTTTTAAGTCATCTCCCTAATCTTCCTATACCCAGAAGCCTAACTAATATTGTGAGATGGTGTGGGGCATCTTCCTTTTTCATGCCAGCATCTCAAGCTAAGGACATCTGAGACAAAACCTGTACTTGTGTCCTTTTCATTAACTTTTCAACTGCTAACCTTAATACAAACAATATTTTATGATGCAGTTTTTTGCATACAGCAAGTTGTACCATTTTAAGATTTTTTTAAAAAAAAATTAACGAGATTCTGCTCACTTTGAAAATGAGGGAAAAAACTTCAAATCTTGTGCAAACACTTTTGTACTAGTTATTAAACAGTAGCTCTCTTCTTTGGGAGCTTGAAAAAAGTGCAACTGCTTTAAAGAATCGATCCCTTAAAGTTAATACAACTTTAATGGATTAACTTCTTAAAACAGCAACATTGCTTTTTTTTTTTTGACTTGTGCAAAACCTAAAGAAAGCGGGGCTGCTTTAATGATTAGCAGAGAGGAATCTGAAGCACATTCATAATCTTGATATTCAATACTATTTGCTGCTTGCTTAGCTGGCTATTTTTAATACTAGCCAATATTATACATTATGGTTGTATTTTACAGATAACATTACTCTCCTAAGTGAAACCCATTTCTTCCATAACAGAAGTCATCATTATAATTTGGTAACAAACTTTCTAATAAATACAGAGTTATAAAACACTATCTCCAAATATGTCACTTTCTGCTCTCTGATGAGCTACATTAAGTTCTTTTCATAGGAGTGTCCAACTACTGATCTGTGATTCTGCTTGACCTGACTCACCATGATTTTGGAACAATTCAGGTCTATCTCCAACAAAGAATGTAGACAAGACATCTTATACCTCAGGTCTTTTTCCCTCAGCAATCCTTCTGTGTTTTGCTTTGTGTATGTAGGTCAGGTATAGCAGTACCAAGTGCTCCAAATCCCTATTTAGGATGGCCCTAGCATTTCTGTTTCTGCAGAAAGATTGGATCTTTCACCCAATCTCTTGCACTCAAGCTTTTTTTGTTTGTGGAGAGGAGAGGGGGAAGAAGATGTCAATAAAAGGTTTACCTCCAATTACCACAGCATCTGTTTAAATCTGTTTCTCAAGTCCTATTATTTCAATCCACACAAGGAGCTTGAATCAGATTTGCCTCATCTCCTCAGTCGTAAGATGTTAAGGGAGACTCTGTGTGCTCTGTGAGGGCTTACTGTAAGAGGACTAGTCTGTTTACTTGAACACAAAATGAAGAGTCATTTGGCAGGCAGAACACTATGAAATGGCTAAATGTGCTATGTACATTACAATTGCTTCATTGTAATGAATAGATGTATTACATTTAATCTGGAGACTTGTTAATTAAGTTTATGGTATTTTCTAGATTTATCCTCAGTTTGACTCCTACCTGCTATTGAACATCTTTATTTTCAACAGCGTGATTTATTTTTCCTTCTTCTCACTTATAGATATTATGCAGATATAGCTAAAATGCCAGCAATCAGCGATCAGGACATGAGTGCCTATTTGGCAGAGCAGTCACGGTTACACTTGAGCCAATTCAACAGCATGAGTGCCCTGCATGAGATCTACTCATACATTACTAAGTACAAGGATGAGGTAAGGTATATCAGAACTCTTAGACTTATCTTAATATAACTATTTATCTCTGCTTTTTCCTCTTTCTTTTGACCCACAAAAAGAAATCCAGATTGGAGCTGCTTTTATCCCTCTGTAAACTCACCCTATCATGTCTTAATAGTTGCACAGCCAGCTAATGAGCCCCCACTATTCAGTGTCCTGAAGCATTTCCATACAAATACAAAAGAAGCTCCATTTTTTAAAATATATTTTAAAAATGATCTGTAATGTATAAAAGCAATAAACAAAAGAACACAATTATGTGCATTATAATTATGTTCCAAAATCAGTTATTAAAGACTGATCTTGGCAGTTACTTACAAAATATGGTACATATCATTTCTATTATGTGGGGCAAACCTATCTGGGCTTTGTCCCACTTTAAACTGAAAAGGGTGTTTGTCTTCCTGAACAGCTAGTCATCATTAAAAAGATGTGGTTCAATTACCCATCTGTTGAGATACTAGAATAGTAGGGGAACCAGTTGCAGCAAATTATTGAAAAAGGGTACTAAGTTCTCCCAAAGATACAGATTCTTCTCAATCTCCCTCTTTCCCCTTATCCTAACTATCAACTCTGACATAGATGGATGAGATAAGAACATTTGTCAAGTAGTAGTTCCTTTAATTTCTCTCCATCAATATTGATGATTATGACGACAACGATGATGACATTACCCTCCTGAATCATACTGACTTATGCTACATTCTTTTTATTTCACATAACCAACAAACCTGGGATTCTATGAATATCTCTGTCCAAGAATTAACCTACAAGCCCAGCCAGCCAAATGTTGCCACCTACAAAGACCTTCCACTGAAGCTCTTTTTAAGTCCTGCATTTGCTTTACAAAGAGAGGACACCTGTTTCTTTTCTAAAGTTTAGATATGCCTTGAGGTATTTTTATCTGCCTATTATATTCATCCTTTCTTCTCCTGTTTGGATACAAATTGCTTAAAGTAACAAACACAGACCACTGCCTTTTATAACAAAACAACACTTTTTTCCAAAATAGGGGGTAAAATCACAACAGTGCCTCAGCAGATAAGTAATGGGCCAATAAGAATGGAATAATTAAATCAGTGAAGGGAACACATGAAGTAATCAAATAAGAGACAAAAGAAAAAATATCAACCTAAACCTGAAGCATTTAACTCTCTAAATGAATGTGTTCTGGGTCATTTCAGTGAGCCCATGAACAAATGACCTTATTTATAATTTTGAGGTGGGGGTGGCATTTATTATCATAAGAGAGTCACTTCATAAGCCTATAAAGTTTTAAGAGTGGTTAAAAACCCATCTACTGTAATTGATATGAACAGCAGAAAGTAGAACACATTCTCTACAATCCTTTATTAAAGCAATAAAATATATGATGCTTTTATATATATATGGAGTTATATGGATTTTATTGTCCAACAGAAAGATGTTGAGAGCTGGGGGGAAGGGAATTGGTTGCTTATATAAGATAATGAAAGCATTTGTACAAGACCTTGTCAAACATCTTTGCATTGTTATCTGGGCAAAGCTCCAAAATTGGTTCCTTCAACAGCTAGTAAAGAAAGTGGCCTATTCACATAAGTGTGAATAGAGATCAAGGCTTCTTAGAGGTTTCTACACTCCAGTAAGCTTTGTAGCCAGCTGAGATCTCCCGCTCCATGGCAAATTTCCACATGCCAATGGAACAGCTTGTCTTCAGAGGTTGTTGGTGCTCCATCAGTGGAGGCTTTTAAAAACAGACTGGACAGCCATTTGTCTGAAATGGTATAATGACTCCTTCCTGAGCAGGCGATTAGACTAGAAGACCTCTTTTTAACTCTCTTATTCTGTTCTGTTTTTCTGGTGACCTTGGATTAGTCTTTTTCTCAGCCCTAGGAAGAAGGCAGTAGCAAACCACTTCCAAAAATGTTGACAAGAAAATTTCATTAGTCCAGGCAGTTGCCAGGACTCAAAACTGACTTGAAAGCACCACCACCACCACCACCACCAACAACAACAACAACAAATAGCTTAGGTTTACATTTTTAGGATCCTTGGTTGATATTTAGTCATTGATTTGATAAATTATTTCAAACCAGATGTATACATATCCACCTCACTTTATCACCTCAGTTATTTCGTTTTTAATAGAAAACATGCCGCCAAATTCTGTCTCATTTTTATTTCAAAAAATCTTTTGAGTCTCACTAAAGTTTAGGACTATTAAACAATAAAAATGGTGGGTGGTCGCTGCTCTGTGCTGGAACTATGGCTACCTGCCAGAAACGAAAAGGAAGGGAAGGAAAACTGGGGTAATAGGGAGCACCCCGGGGGATTAGAGGGGTTGGCAGGAGGGAGCAATCTCACCTATTCACAGTCTGGAGAATGGTTATTATGTGATTGATGTGCCCATTATTTGTGAATAGGAAAGCACATTTGTACATCCATTTTGTAAGAGTGCCTGTGACATGCTTGTTAATATTCCAAGTAAGACCACTATAAAATACATTGCCTACCTATGTTTTGAATAATGTTATTCTGTGTTTAAATATTCTATTCATATATAAAGTGTTTCGCATATTGGAAATTCTGAAAGTATTGTTTCTGAAGGGCACCAGATTCGGGTGGATGGTGAAAAGAGTAACATTAATGCCGCATGTCAGCAAAACTGAATATTATTGTTTCTTTGTAGACGTGATCTTCAGATGGATTCTTGTATCTCTCAGTGGCAACTTGCATTTTGTAGAACAGAGTTTCTTTGAATATGCAGTTCAGAGATCTATTTCAAGTCAGCAGAGTTCCCTCTGTGGTATAATATAATGCTGCTGGGAGCATTCCAATTTCCTATTGTTTTTATCCCATAAAAATAAATTCACATGGCAGTCTTTTGTTGGCATTGCATATTAATGATTAATAGTCACTAGTTAACTAGACTAGATTCTGTTACTTGAGTTCTTTTAGATTTCCTATAAACAAGATCTTAGAGATAAAAGATGTAGAATTATTTTTAGAGTGATACAGACAGAATTGTTTGAAATTCCAAATTAATGAGATTTTTTTTTATCCGGATCTACAGCTTTTCTTCCTGAGGTGAAAGTAGAAAGATAATAGAATAATAATAATACAGAATTTTTACTATTTAAATCAAGTTAATAATCACCAATTCCAATGTGCTGGTTGCAATGCATAAAAGAGAAAAGCATCTCTCACATAGATATGAAACCATATTTATCACAACTCCTATTAATAACAAGGAATGTTAATGAGAGATTCCCTGAATTAAGGCTCTTTCAAATGTTACTTTCATTCCTCAAGAGTTTACCTGAAAGATAGTGTGATCCGGAATATCCCCTGTGAGTTGGCCATTTTTTTTTTATTCTTGAAGGCCCTTGTCGGCTTCAGATATTAACCAAGTAGTAGATTAATCAAAAACTCTTAGTAGGGGCAACTCTGGGGTTTCATTCAATAGTAAGAAACCACAAAGACTCCAGAACTCTGTCACCCAGTTGTGATGGGATGAGTTGCTTCCTGGGGGAATCCCCCTTTTTACTATTGCTTTTTGCAAAGGAATTTATTTATTTAGGTCTTGTATTTTTAATACTCTTTCACTGTATTGCAAATTGCCCCTAGTTGCTTTGGATAGTGAGACAGACAGCACATAAATTTAATAAATAAAAGGAAGAATGCAGTATCCTTCTTTTGAATGGAATCCAGAGAGATAAGTTGCAAATGAAACCCCATGTAACCTTTCCTTGATTAACCTTACCTTGATTAACTTGGGCAAAGTTTAGTGGGTTCCAGCCAAGTATGGTAAACATAGGTGTGCACCAGCAGTGCCAAGGAAAGCCTCTTGTATGAATAGACCGAAGTGTAAACGCGACCTGCCTTAAGGGTGAAGCACTATATACAAAAGGTCATCAACAGGAACCTAACAGCCAGCACCGTTGCAGCTTTTCAGCACCCTGACTGCCGTCTGGATAACATCGACGGCAATCACAAAAACTGGAGCTAGAGGCGGCAGCAGCACCCCAAAGAGCGGCTCCTCCAGCGTTTTTCACAGCAGCAGCTGCTGCCCTGAGGCTAGTCTCCCAGCTCCCAACATTCCCTTTCATTAGTCTTACAAATCCGCGAGGCCTTAAGAGCAGAAATCAATAGCAAGCAGGGCAAGTGCTACGTGGTTAGAAAGTGCAGCCTTAATGAGCTGCAGGCAAAAGGAGTTGCCAATCCTTGTCTTTTTGGTTAACCACTGTCTGGCATCTGTTGAATGTGCCTCTATAGTCTGCTCTAAAAAGTGTGTTGCCTGTGTGTTTGCAGCTCTCAGGAGCTTCTTTTATGATTTGTAATGGGATTAATAAATAGCAGCTGTTCCCTTTGTTTGTTTTCATTCATTAAACACAATTACATGCAGCCCGATTGCACCCTCTTTGATGCAAAATGGGAGGGAATAATTTTTCCTATTGCTCAGTACTATAATGTGCTGTCATTGGCACTGAATGAAAATCATAATTAATTTTCATTTGGGTTTTTGCATCTTCCTAATCATGGAGGTCTTTAGAGCAGGTGACAGACAAGTATCTCTCTTTTTTTTTCCCTGCCCCCCCCCCTGCTGTTTTCTGTTTTACCCTGTTGTGCCCAGAAGTGCCACAGAAGAACAACCAGGTTATAAAATCTTTCCAAACTCAAACTTTAGTGATTGTCTCTCGTTCTATTCAGGCCTCCAAGACCTTTAAGATCCTAAGATTTGACATCAACCTAATTGGTTGCTTTGGTTGACATTCAGTATTTTGGCACCACCTAGAGGTGCTTGAAAAAACAATGCTTTAGGTGAGGGATGAGGTATTGGGGGAGTCAAACTCTGGCCTGGATTGTTATCTATATGGATATGCAGCCAGACCAATTTTGTGCCTTTCATATTTAGAAAACTTTTGCAACTAGACACAAATCTTTTTCCCATATGGTAACAACCTTAGAATATCTTCCCACAGGCATGATGTTGGATTGGCTAAGGCCTTTCTTGATCTGATGATTACACCAGGATGTACCAGCTCTGTGGCATATTTTGCCACTTTTGTGGCTTGCTTTATTTTGTGACATTTCAGCCTTCCTGAAAGCCCTGGCAGTGGTGCTGTGTGTGCTCCCCATCATCTCTGCATGTTCAATATGGGAAGCCCAAAGGTGTCACAGCTGCTTTTAATCACAGGGAGCTTATTTCCATATTACTTGTAGAGTTTGTGATGGGCCTTTCCTGCTTTCGAATAGTCAGCCTATTAATTATACAAGAGTTTGTTTCCAATTATGCAGCCAATGAAATGGTTAATTGAGTTCTTTTTGATGGATGCCTCGACATTTAATTGGAAAAAAAATACAGCTTGCACTCACAACAAATGTAACCACTATAATGGGATTTCTGATGAGATTGCATTTTAATCATCCTTTTTCTAAAAAAAATCTGGCAGTGCAATTGAAAGGGAGGTGGGGTTTGGGGGCATTTCTTTTTTATCCCTCCACTTTCTCAATCCTTTCCTGCCAAATCTTCCCTTTTCACTCAACTGTCAAAAGGCCCTCTCGCAACATCCCACCCTTCAGTTCATTAATATGGTTGATTAAAGAATGGCTTACTAAGAATATGTACAAATGGTGTTCTAAAGGTTTTCATCTGATTCTGAGAACAGAACTGAAATGTAGATTCATTTTTAGCTCTTTCAGTAGGAAAAGATGTTTATTATATGAATTCGACTGTATTCTATAATTATGTCCTTTTTTCTAGTGCCTCCAATAAAAGGCCTTAAGCGTGTTAAATTCCATTACTTGACATGTTTTCTGAATGGCACTGAAGTATAAGCCTATTTAGTGGAATGAAATTTTGGTGGAAAAATTCCAGAATTGCCATTTTCTAGTATTCTAAAATATAGTGTGAATAGCAATAGGTTCTTTCATCAATTGAGGCAAATCTGACTGCAATTCAATATGAAATCTACATTGGACCAATACATTTAGATTCTTCAGCATTTTTTCATGCCTTGCCCAGCAACCAAGATTGGCACTCACTGATTATATAGTTTCACTCCTTGACAGAGACTAGTAGGCTCAAATTCTCCTTTGGATTGAATGAGCTCAGGATGACCTAAACAGAACCATTTAAACATATTGACTACCTGAGAAATGTCTCATTGTGGATAGTAATGAATTTAAAAACAAAATGGGTCTGTAGAAGATTGACTTAAAAGGATTCCATGGCAGGCCTTTGAATATTCTATTCAAAATATTTAACTACTAAAGAAACTCAGTTTCAGAGATGTCGATGACTTCCTGTAATTTATCCCATTGTTTGCTCTGTATAATTATCAGGTTTTATGTTCATGAAGAACCATTCTCTCATATATTTTCAACATCAGGACAAATTTAGACATTAAGAAAACACATTATTTTTCTGAGCCTGCGTGGGTGAGTTACAATTCAGGTCAATATAATGCTTGGCTATTCTACCTCAGTGGGGCAAAACATTCAGGTGGATTTAATCCATCCTTGTTTGGCTGCTTTGGTTTAATAACAATGGCTTCACATGCTCAGAAACATTTTTTTAATTGATTGGGATGAAGAAGGATAGTTATTCCAATAAACAGAAAGAGAATGCTTACACATCTCTGCCTCAGTCTAAGCCTAGTAAATGGCTTCCATTGTTTTTCTCCTGTACATTTTGAAACCCACATTGATGACAGGAAATCTGCAGAGAGAAGATACTGACAGTTTTAGAGGACAGCTGACTACAAACCAAGTTAAGCGTGTCTCCTACTCTTAGTTTTTTTTTTTTATAGCAATAGCAGTAGACTTATATACCGCTTCATAGGCCTTTCAGGCCTCTCTAAGCGGTTTGCAGAGAGTCAGCATATTGCCCCCAACAATCTGGGTCCTCATTTTACCCACCGACCTGCTGATCTAGCAGTAGCCTGCAGTGCTGCATTTAACCACTGCGCCACCTTGGCTCTTATCATGTTTCCTAGTGATCTGGCAAGTAAACCCAAACCATTCATTTGACGGCAAGAAGGATAATTGGGGGGGGGGGGCTGGAGGCTAAAACATATGAAGAACAGCTTGCAGGAATTGAGCATTTCTAGTTTAATGAAAAGAAGGACGGGGGTGATAGCAGTGTTCCAATATCTCAGACTGCCATGAAGAAGAGGCACCAGAAGGTAGGACAAGAATCAATGAATAGAAACTAATCTAGGAGGGAACCAACCTAGAACTAAGGAAAAATTTCTTGACTGTTAGAGCAATTAATCAATAGAATGACTTGCCTCCAGAAATTGTGGGTGCTCCAACACTGGAGGTTTTAAAGAAGAAATTGGACAATCATTTGTCTGAAATAGTATAGGGGCTCCTATTTGAGTTAGAAGACATTTATAGTCCCTTCCAACCCTGTTATTGTTATTAACTTCAAATTCGAGTTTACAATCCAGTATTTTCCCCCAGTCTCTTCCTATCTTTGATGTTTGGGAAACCAGACACTTCATATTTTTTTTCACTGGCAACTGTGTTCCATTGTCTCCTTACCGTTGTCCTGTTTAGCCTTTTGATGGTTCAAGGAAGATTCCTTCTGGCTTTCCTGTTAGCTCCTTGTAAAGGATTTTTTTTATTAATCTTTTCCTTTCTGCTCTTTCCTTTATCAGATTTTAGCTGCTTTAGAGAAGGATGAACAGGCCCGAAGACAACGGCTGCGAAGTAAGTTGGAGCAGGCAATTGACACAATGGCCCTCAGTAGCTGAAAAGGCCGAGTTGTTGTTGCAGACTTCCTAGCAGCGGAGGCTAAAAGAGAAAGCGGCAAGCAAGTTGCAGCAACAAGAAAACACACAAGATATATTGGGGCTCGGCACAAAACAGTGCACAGAGTCTGCTGCGTCTTTGAACCTTTTGCACCGATTGAACAGAAGAAAATCAAACAATCCTTTAAATCATTATTATCAAAGCAAACTGAAAACAATTTAAGGACCTTTTTGAAAGGAGCGACTGACGTGGCGAAGAACCTGAGAGACCCAAGAGATGTGTGAGAAGAGCCGGGGGGAAGAAATTCCAGCTGAACTGCTACTGTCCCTTCCCCACCAAGGCCTGCCCCAAATCTGGCAAAGGAAGGTTGGGGCATGCACTAACTTCTAGGGCAATGATTTTACATTATGTTTTTCTTATAGCAGGCGGGTGGGCAGTCTTATCATTTTTTCCCTTCTGTATTTGCTTCGACTCCCGCCTTGACTGGACAACTCAACTCTTCAATCTACTCCTCCTTTCTTTCTCCCTGGCCTACTGCCTCTAGTGTTAACTGCTAAATTTGCACAATTTTCACAAGCTAATGCTGTCCTTTTAGGGACTGAAAGGATATGGAGGGTGGGGGGAAGGTTGCAAATCTGCAAGAAATCTTTGCAAGGTTTTTCCCCCCCCCCAACAAATTATTGGTGTGGGAGAGAAATGAGGGTGAGTAGAACCTAGAGAAGTGGTCCCAGGCCTCCTTTTTTTTATTCTTTCTACAGTTCGTCCTGTGCCATTTTAAAACGTCATTGAGCACAGGCCAAAAAAAATGCTCTCATTTTGAATGCTGCTTAAGGGTGTGCTGGAGACTTAGAAACAGAAAGGCGAAAAAAAAAAACCCTAAAATAAAAAAGAGGGATAGGCACATATGAAAACAATCTCACCTAAAGAATGATGTTTCTCATCTATAAGGAGCAATGCAACTTCCCAATACACCTTGCATTGGATTTTTATAGAAGTCAGAATCAGCTTTTATAAGCAGAGTTTAACAACTGTCTCAAAATTGCCCCTACAGAGTTTTCCTTAGTACACACACACGCACACATGCACACACACACACACACACACACACAGAGAAACACCTCCCTCCATGTGTAAGCTTTCCATTTAGAGGTCAAAGATACTTTCAAAGAAGCTCTCCATGTACAAGTGTCATATAGCCAGAGAGAAAGGAGCTATTTAGTCTAATAGCTCAGTATTGCAAAAGGAGAATGTTCAGGTTAAGCAGGATCATACAGGCAGTTTAGAGAAAAGCTTTTTTTTTTTTTTTTTTTTTTTTTTTTTTTTTGCCTTTTGAAATTGCATTGCTCCACCTCATTCCACTGGCTCTGGCTCTCCCCCAATGGCAACATAAAGCCTGGTCAGATTATCAGAAGGGCAGTCTTTATTTCAAACAGTAAAAAAAATAAGGTGTTCCCACATAAGGTTGCAGTTTAACCCAGATAAATACGACATGTCATTTCCAGCATTGTTTTCGGTATGTATGTGTGTGTATGAGAGAGAGAGAAGGGTTGTGCATGCTCATGGACATTCAGCTCTTCCAAATACTGATTACAGCATATTTATATCTTCAGCAGGCTAATTCCAAAAACAAAACCAGGCTTAAAGTTTTTAAAGCAGACTTGTTCAATCTGGGTCTGCATGCAGCCCTGGACAGTTACAGTAAGTAATGTGTCCCCATAAACCTTCCACGTTATTATGTGGCTCTTGTATATGTTGTTGTCAATGTGTGAAATTAGGCATTTCATGGAATGCCTAGGAAATCTATAGAATGCCAAAAATCAAATGAAACACTTTTAACATTTCACACATTTCCTAGGCATTCTACGCAATGCAAAAAGGCAAACCAGCAAAGTATAAAATACTCCTGCTGAAATCCCATTCTAGCCTTCCTTGTTGCAACATGTAGGTCAATACTGGTCTTTTTATCTTGGTTATTTATTTATTTTTTTCAGTAAGGAAAAACTTCTATTTTGCATTTCTTCTTTTATTTTCATACATATCTTTCCAATAAAGGGTTAAAGTTAGGGTGACAGCCTAAACCTAAGCCTAAGCTAACCCTATTCATGTTGCTCTTTTCATGCTTTTCCTAAACAGTTCTTGTCACACTGCAAAATGCCTAGGTATTACATACAATGTCTAGGGAAAGTATATAGCGCATTAAAATAACAGACTTAGCTTACAAATGTCACCCATTCTTTGCTCACATGTTTTGTTTGTTTTCTTGTTTTATATTTTACCTTTTATAATAAAACAAAATAAATGTACTATTTCCTAGGCATTCCATTCTATACAATGCCAGCCTTTCACACATTGCCAGTAACATATATAGTAACTGTATTACACATTTAACATGCACCCAAGACATTTCCAGTTCACTCAGTGTGGGTCAGGCAAGCCAAAAAGTTGGACAATCATGCTTTAAAGCAAGAAATAATGGCTAGGCCACCAAAGCTGAGCCTGCAACCAAGTGCTCCTTGTGTGCAACAAAATATTCTGTGGGAAATAGACATGACAGCAGACCGACCCATGAGAAGGAAAGAGAAAACATGGCTCTTTAATTGCATGGAAGCATAACCATTTGGGATCTTTTTTTGTAGGCTGATATCAGCGATCAGTTATGTGTCCAGAAAGTGTTTGAATGGTTGCCTGCTTGTTAGAAACTTTAAATGATCTATGACCAGCCCAATATTCTCACTCCCAGTTTATTTATAACTTGCTTTGGTTATCTTGTCGCCCTGTTTCTTTAGGTAGGGGAGAAATAATAATCTTCAAAGGAACAGCATAGGATTGTCTGCTCACATTTAATGTTAGTGCCTAGGTTAGTAGAAAAGTACCAGAAAGGTCACTGCCATCTCGCCACCTCTCCTAATTGGACATGTACTTTCTATTTTCTCCTATTTCTTCCAACTCCAAAATTGTAATTACTTTCTACCCTGATTCTGAGCATTCCCTGATTCTGGCGTTGTTGGTTAGCAAACAATCACTAGGCGGAACAGATGCCAACATTGGAAAACAATGGAAAATCGGTTAAAAACTGAGCAGAGAGTCTTGGTTACTTGCTTGTTCTCTAGGCTGAATCAGACATCTCCCATATGATTTAAAAGCAAGGCTTCCTTTATTGCTACCATGAAGATTTCCAAGGTATCGTGTAATGTTTTAGAATGGAATGTGTGTTCCTTTGTTTTGTCTTGGCGCAGTTCATTTAGAAGGTATCCTCAGTTAAAAGCAAAGCCTTTATACAGGTAGTCAAAATGATGTATGACCATTTGTTTAACAATCAAAACAATGATGGTCCTTTCATTGGGATTTTGCCTGAATTCTGTTTCCTTTTTCCTTCCCTTCTGTCATTTATTTCTTCATCATTCCATCAAATATTCCATTATTTGCATGAAGACATTCAGTTCCGTTCTGCATGTAAAGCTTTTTACTATTATTTTAAGTTTACCAGTGTGTTGAAGTCTCTGCCCTAATTCAACTCAGGTGACCAAATCCACCCAATTTTCAGTCTATCTGCCTATCAAGTACCAATAAATTAAACTGTTCTCTCAACTGACCTAGTGTTGAAAGAGAAGGTATTGTAAAACATACCAAGCCTGATCCTACCTAAATAAGTGGAAGAGAAAGATGTGATGTGTGTGTGTGCGTGTGTGCCTGTATACACCCAAAATGTTACAATCTAATTTTTACACCTCAGTGGGGCAACTGTACCATTAACTGGAGGAGTTGAAACAATATCAAATGTGGCTTTTTACACTAAACAATGGAAAACAACAAATGGGGGGAAAACATATTAACATTCCTCACCAATAGAACAATCCTTTGAATATACATCTCAAATTACTTTGTAATTTTTATTTTTAATTATTTCTTTAATTAAAGAGGAGGAAAAAGAGAAGACAATAAAATAAAACAAACTAAAAAAATTCTGTGGAGTCCTGAGATAATTCTGGATCCATAAGACCTGTGGGCTGTTGCATGACTGTGATAGAATTTAGTCTGAGTTAATCTTTTTTCAAAAGAAAAAAAAATGCAAGTGTTGAATATTAGAGGTTTGGTTAGACTTTTATTTTTTTGAAATTTTGGACTTAATTTGTCACTTCTTGTACAAGAAACGAAAAAGAATTAATGTAAATTGTTTATTTCTGGAAAATGGTACTCAAATAAGTCTTAAAGGACAGCTAAATGTTGCTACACAGGAAGGCTACCATAATGGTTTAGAGAAGTGGTTCTCAACCTTCCCAAAGCCGCGACCCTTTAATACAGTTCCACATGTTGTGGTGACCCCCAACCATAAAATTGGTGTCTCGGTTCCTAAGACCATCGAAAATATATGTTTTCCGATGGTTTTAGGTGACCCCTGTGAAAGGGTCATTCGACACCCCCCCCCCAAAGGGGTCCCGACTCACAGGTTGAGAACCACTGGTTTAGAGGTTCATATCTCCAGACTTTGAAGTCTACTTGGGACTATAAACACTATATGATTTATGTTCCTCAACATGACTTATCTTTTCACTTTTCCAATTGTATCATGGATCACAAAGAAGCAAATTTGGCTTTGTGGTGTCACGTGATCAGAATCTTTGTCTGTTTTGATTATTGCAAAGAATTTCTTTTTTTTAAGTTATTGTTTTTCAGGAGCTGCTTAGAATCCTAGTGCTTAAACTCGAAAAGGCAGTCTGCTACTTTATGACCATCCAACTTCTGTTTAAACACTAGCAAAAAGTGGCAGTCTCTTCTGTTATTGAACAGCTTTTAAGATTAGGATATTTATTCAGTTTACATCTACCTATCATATAAATCCCTCATTTTTCATTTGCATCCTGGAACAACAGTTCTGCCCTGTCTTCTGTGTGACAGCTGTTCAGTATGGCAGTCATCTGTCTCTCCACCTTGCTAAACATGTCCAGCACTTTCAACCTTGTATGTTTTTTCTTCCGGGCCTTAATTTCTCTCCTCTGTATGTGCTTTAGGTTGTCAATATCCTTCTTAATATGGAGTGCTCAAAATGGGACACAATATTATAAATGCAGTGTGACCAATATTGAATAGATGGGAGCAATTCTATTGATGTTGTCATGTTACTTTGGATACCGCAATCTAAGATTGCATTTGCTTTTTTTTCATTTTGCATCTGTATCACATTGCATCTGTATCACACATGCAGCTGTATTACCATGTTAGCAAGATCTCTCCAGATCCATTTTGCATATATTATGACCCAGTATGGTCTGCTCCCCAGTTCTTACATCCATATCTTTGATTTGTCCTACCCAAATGTTGCATTTGTCCATGTTGACATTCACAGTCCTAGTTTCTACTTCACTTCAGCTCCTGAAGGTGAATTATTTGTTACCCCTTCATCTTTGTGTCATCTGAAAGCTGATAAGGCTATACCCCTGGTCAAAGTCATGTATAAATAGGTTAAACAGCACAATTCCTGAAATGCAGCATTCATTACACAACACAATATTTCTTTCCAGTTAAACAATTAGCCAGCTAGATTTGTTAGGTACAGTCATTCAATTAAGGCCTTCTACAGCTGATAGAATATCGTAATCCATTAAAATCCCATGATATTTTTGCTGAATGCTTCCCTGAAGTCAAAGGAGACCATGTACACACCATCCCCATTATGACTAACTGATCACCAAGATAAGTTTGGTGTCACATGTCTTTTTTTTTTGATAAATCCATGCTGGAATTTCCTTATCCATATTAGTTTGATAGTGAAATAAATCAATATTGGATTTACATCCTGCAGAATGCAAAATTAAGTAAAGAGATTTGGGGATTTATTCTTTTTGGAAAAAAAATTTCTTATGAAACAGTTTGTTTTTCTCGTTATTGGCCTTGATTCAACTAAACCATTATCATCATTCTGTGGCAATCATTTGATCCCTGGGGAAAGGAGTCCTTGCCAAATATAAACCAATAGAATAAAATAAAAATTAATGATGATGAAGTGTGTGGAAAAGTCGACATTTTTCTGTATCTTCTAGGTTCTTTGCCAGGTGGACAAACAACTTCAGTTAAAATAGCTGGAAAGCAATAAATTAATCAGGGTATGGCCAAGTGTGGTAGACTAATCCTATTGGTGGAACAAACAGATCCTGCATGCATTGCATATTTGCAGCCACGATGATAGCCTGGTGAATGATTTTTCACATGCAAAGGTTTCACTCGAGATAGAAAGTGAGATAGATCCATTATAGCAATATTCAGATGGGGCATGAAAAAAGTTATTTGACCCCCATGACTGTATTGAGGGATGCATCTCTGTATTTTGAAGGGTGGATGGGGGGGGGTTATAATTATCTGGTTCTATCTATCAGTTTGTCTCCTATTTAAACAGAGCCAGCCACTTTCCAGACGGTGCCTGAGGCAAAAGAGAAACTCAGTGGCTGTCCCATATAACAGGAGGAAATATATATGACAAGTAGGCAACTGAACCCAGATGCTCATCTTTCTCACCATGTACTTGTGGTTTCACAGAAAATAAACAATTGTTTGTGTGGCCACACATTCCTCCTATATTTCCAAAGGGCTTACAGTCAGTTTCAAAAAGGATCGCTCTAATGAATAAATGGAGCATCCCTTTAATCCTGTTTGGTTGTAGTTTCAAACCCTGCACTATTAGGATTTGAACGCTTGAATAAAACCCTACATAGGAACAGTTCCACACTGCCAATAGTTATGCTACACTTCTGGGGACTGGCTGTTCACTTGACATCACCAAGCAACTTACAGAGTTAATCATTCTTGCCTGCCAAATGGAGTTGTTCACTTCTTTGTGCTAGAGTCTTGAAGATGTAACTTGGGCTTAACTAGTTGCCCTTTTTAATTCAGTGTCTCAACTCAGTTAAAATTCTTCAATATGAGAGGAAATCTGCATACATCTTATGTTCAATTAATCTCCCAGTCTCTCCATACTAAACACTTGATATTATTGCATGCAAAATTATTTAAATAATCATCTCATCTGACAATGGTTCAGTATTAATCCTAAGAGTTCATTGAATACATGGGGAAGGTTGATATTACTATATCGCTGAAAGTTTTTAAACTCTGGAGTCATAATGCCCACTTGAGCAGAACTTACTGGTAGGTCAACATACTTTTGTCCCTTTTTAGTGTCCATGGAAAATAAGTGTTTTGAAACAATAAACCAAATTTTCTTTTTCTTGGTATAGCCTTTTGATAGCATCACTCTTCTTTTTCTGGTGGGTAAATGAGTCCCATTGTTAGCCTATGTAACCCATTGTTAGCCCTCCAAAGTTAGTCTATGTAGCCAATTCATACTTTATGAAGTTATTTGACCAAGTGGTTTTCATAGTGAAAGAGTCATTTAAAAAGCTAGGCATCTTTGTGGGCATTTGATCATTTTTTCTTCTTTGTTGTTCATCTACCCTGTTCTATTTAACTACTACTGTATATTGAAAACCAACTTACTTCTGATACCAAAATTCCTAAATGGATTGAGGATCCATAACCTGCTTCTCCAGTTCTTGGAAATATCTGGCTAATTCCTCATGGATTACATGGACTTTTCATCTTACTCTGTAGGACCATTCCTGTATTCCTAAGCAATGATTCTCTTAGCTTTTCACTTCTGTTGATGTTGTCTAAGCTGTCCTTTCTTATTTCCACTTATTTCTCTTGAGGGTCTGCTCTTCTCATATAACTGTTTGTAGTTTCTTTCCTATTAAGAGTGGGGATTAACACTGAGGAGCGGCAGAATGAATTTACTTTCCACGAGTATAAATATTTTATTAGATTTTTCATCAGATTATGTTGACCCTTGATGCACCCAGTTATACAAATACTCTGCCAAGATAATGTCAGATGCTTTGACTGCAATATTGAATCCCCAGAAGTTTCTGTAGTTAAGCAGTTATTTTAACTGTAGTTATTCATGTCATTACAATAGGCAAGATATTTTGATATGCCTTTTGATTGATGCTCAAATGAGCACATAAGAAAGTTGTATACATTAGCAGGAAAATCTT